AATTTTCTAACAGCTGCAGCTTTTTGTCATTTCAGATACTTGTGGTCAACATTGCAGGAGGTGTTGAAAAGCTTTGGGTAAGCTTAGCTTCATCCAGCTAATTCAATTACACTCGTTTTAGAGGTATCACTTCACACTTCCTTTTACTGCTCACCTGGGGGCAGTTACAGGCGGCCACTGACTCACTAATCCGGCCTGAAGCAGTTCACTTGATTGAAAACAGGCTGAAAATTTTAGGGTGTCGTATGAGTTCAATTTGGTCTTTGTTAACATTAATTATCAAAATAAAAATTCAGCACATTATAATTTACAAAGCTACTCAAATAGTGTTTGATAGGTTGTTATGTTTTAATAAGAAATAATTAGGACTTTTTTTTCTCTTTTTGCATTTTTTCTGTTTATATTTGTAGTTATTCTAATTCTTATGTAGTTTACTGTTCTCATATTAACACAAGGAATAAATGTTGATTCACTGGAAGCTAGGACCAAACGTGTGTGTGTGTGTCTGTGTGCGCATGTGTGGGTTGTGTGAATTCTTTGTTTGCCATGAAGGTGTGCGAGCTGATTGCTTGGCTGAAATAAACTATAGCTCAGCTTTTGTGTCTCCACTGAAGGGCAGAAACCCTGAATCCTGCTGGTTGTAAAGAGCAGGTGTGAGGAGTGTTGTGCGAGCGTGCGTGTGTGTGTGTGTGTGTGTGTGTGTGTGTGTGTGTGTGTGTGTGTGTGTGTGTGTGTGTGTGTGTGTGTGTGCGTGTTACCGTGCACCAATGGTCCTCTTTGCCATTGTTTGTCACTGTTATCGCAACGCTTCTCCTGAAAAGAGATGGCAGGTATTTCAGCAGCAACAGAGAGCAGCGTTTCCTGAGGTGTTCGTTCTGACTGTCTTACTGTTTTGTAGGGAAATGAAACAGAGGAACTTTCTAGCCCTGGGACAAATACAGTGCTATGTGCTCAGGATTTTTTATTGAATGGGATGAAAAAAAAAAGGAAGAAATTTTTATGTCTTTTCTTTCTGTCTGTCATTTTGGAAGTGATGGACTAGTTTTAACTAAATGCTCTGCGATATTTTTATCTCAGTTTTTAAGTTTTAGACGGTACCAGGAATGATGTCACCGGTTGCTTGTGACTGCCATGTTTTATGTCACTGTAGTCCAGTTTAATTTTGCGAGAAAATAAAAGCAGCTGCTGCTCCAGTAATATTTCTACCACTGCATTAAGCTGTGCTGATGCGGTGCTATTTAAATGTACAGATACTGTTGACAAGCTGTGTTTTCTTCTGCATTCTTAACAGTGACATTTACTTTTTTAATCCTACACAAAATTCCTCGTAATATTTGTGAGATGAACAGGTATTGACTGAATCTGATAAAATACATTAAATGCAGAATTTGCAGTAGCAGAGAAACCTTACATCATAATGTTATCTTTAAAGATGAGCTGATTGCTTGATAGAGAATAACGAGAAGAAACAGGTAACTCCGCATGAATGGATAACACTGTGATTGTGATGTCTGAATGACAAGCGGGTGTTTTATAACCTCGCAGGAAACCTGATAAGCTCGTGCCAGACAAATCACATATCGCCTTACAAAACTTCAGTTGTTCTTAATCAAATGTGCCTTAATTTGGACGAGGCTATGATGATGTCATTTTTAAAACAGTCTGCGCGCATGAAACACTTGGAGTTTTGCCAACTACAACACAGTTTCCTAAGTTTTCTTCTCTGTAGACAGTGTAAGGGGTATTGTGTGAACAAGCTTACATCATGCCACAGTGTCAGTGAGTTTAGATAAAGTGTTTCTCACTCGTCTCCATTATCTGAGATAATATCCTACCTTCAAACACAATGTGGCCCTCTGCCCCACACCTTCACATCCAGATCGTATACTGTCTCTACAATAACCAACATGCCTTCCAGGACAACCACATTATCCTCACTGGGGACATGTAGTCCGGTAGGCTAGAATTCCCCCTGTCTTCATTTTTTTGGGTAGGTGTGAAACAATCTTTGTAGTGTAACAGAGACGTGTCTGCAGGTCTGAAGCCGTGCACTGATCCTCCACTGGCTTTACTTCTCTATACAGTGATCCTTGTTACCTGCAGGCGAGCTCACAGATAGCTTTCACCAGCTGTGGCCCAGAGCTGGACTGACAGCCGGCTCGAGTTTTTCAACACACTGACACAGATCATTTGAGAGCTGTCTAAACAGGGACAATTTGAATCCATTGTGTTATTCTATGATCTTTGTGGCTGTTAGTCAGAAAATATCTATGAAAGAAAGAAGGTTTTATGCACCTTTATCTCCATAACCTCTTTTATATGTCAACGGTCCTGTGCAGAGACACACACTATCAGGTTGTGGCTATCAGTGGGCTTTAGGGGTTTTCCAGTGAAGCGAAGAATCTGCTCTGCTGTCTGAAATGCTAACAACATGAGTCATGCACAGGTGTAAATCTAGCTTTAGACAACAATGAAAACATCAGATCTGTGTCACTTTAAGGAAAAAATAGGTCTAAATCCAGTCAGGTGAGTCCACAGGAGTAAAGATGATCGTTTTAACCCGAATCTCCTCTAACTGAAACATCACAAAGTCTTATTTCCACAGCAACTATCAAGTAAATATCATCATGTTGTTGTCTCATTGTATTAAAAAAATGGGCTCATGGGCGAATCAGGGCCATAACATACTAAAGCTTAGGACCAACAGTCGCATGCAGGGAGGGAGTGCAAGCAGACATATCACTAATTAAACCCCTGCTGTCCTGCAGGAAAAGCCAAGTCACAGCTGATAATGCACAGATATTCTAGTGTGTGTGTGTGTGTGTGTGTGTGTGTGTGTGTGTCTGTGTCTGTGTTTGTACGGTATGTCTATTTTAGAAATGATATTGTAATTAGGTTCTTGGAATCTCAATGGCCTGAAACCAGACACACATCCAGAAAACATACACCCAAAAAACTCTCACAGTAAATACACAGACACAAACACTCACACACAAAGTCATGTCTCCTGGACTTCAAAGGACATTACACTGACTTACATACATAGAGATTTATTCTAATCTTAACAACTCACAACAACATACAACTTTCCTTACCCTATCCATTAATCTAAACCTTAAATACCTATACCATAACCTTAAATATGGGATGTGGACTCGCTTCTGGTCCCCATAAGGAAGACAAGTCCTCATAATGTGTTAACCAATATGGGTCCCCACAACATGCGTAATACCCGGACTATACACACACACACACACACACACACACACACACACACACACACACACACACACACACACACACACACACACACACACAGATCAGTGAGAAGCCAGGTTGAGGGATGCAGGGGGGAGTAAGAGCTGGCCGTATGACGGGTAGATGATGAAAAGCTGTGTGAAGAGGTGGTGCAGAAAAACATGGACAGATGAACCAACCAGGGGACCCCCGTTGGACCCAGATAACCCCCATTTCCATACATACACACACACACACACACACACACACACACATACAGTACAGTATGTACCCACACACTGTATCAGAAGTGTTGCTTTTAATAATGCATGAATGTGTCTGTGGTGTTGCTGGAGGACCGGTGTCTCGGACGGCCGGCCTTAATGAAGTTGGGCATGCCTGCCTCACTCTGCTGCCAGAAAGTCATGAATAAACATCAGCCGGATAATTAAACTCAGCAACTGGCAACTGTACTCATCAGTAAACAAGCAGTGAGAGTGAGAGGTCCTGCACATGCTCAGAGGGATTTGCAGGGAATGGAGGAATGGTAATACCAGGCCTTCACTTTCTGTTTAGTACAGTATGGACCCTGGAGAGTGGGAGAGGACCTTGAGGAAAAGTAAAGGGAAGCATTTGACAGAAAAAGACAGAGAGAGAAACAGATGAGAGAGGGATGCTGTGTTTGACCTCATTATCAGAAAAGTTCAAACTCTCTTGCCCTCATATTGGTATCAATGATGGTTCTGCATCAAGCCAGTCTCGTAAATATAATATACTACAGCAACAAAAATACTAATTTCTGACCAGCTGGCAGAGCAGCTTTGAACTTGTGTATCAGTATCAGTAGTTTAACTACCATTATAAATGAGTGCGCAGGAAGAAAGAAGCAGAATTTACTGAAAAGAAAAAAAACCTTTATCAAACATTAATGCACCAACAGGACTCAAACTGTCACATCAGCTGACCTAAGCCGTAGTGGAAGATGCACTCTGATCTTTTACATGAGTGAAAATAGCAACAGCACAGTGTAGAAATACTCTGTTACAAGTAAAAGTCCTGCATTCAGAATTTTACTTTACATTCAGTCTGCACCAAAATACACTTGAAGTACCGAAAGTAAAAGTAATCATTATGCAGAATGGCCCATTTCAGAATAATATGCCGTATTATGTCACTGGATTATAATTACTGATGCATTAATGTGTATGTCACTTTAATGTTGCAGCTGGTAGAAGTTGGGGCCATTTTAATTATTTTATATACTTCTGGATAGTTTGTGAATTTTCCCTCAGGGATCAGTAAAAGTCTCATTTTAACCTATGATAACACATTTGAATTTACTTGTTGATTATTTTTTCTATTATTAATCTAACTTTGCAAAGTAACTAGTAACTAAAATTATCAAATAAATGTAGTGGAGTATTTTATATCTTATTATAATATAATAATTGGGCCTGAAGTGTAGTGTAGTACCTGAATAAATGCATTTAGTTACTTTCCGCTACTGGCTCTAAGCACCTGCCATCCTCACCACTCGCTGTCAGTGATTTGCTCAAACAAGTAACCTAAGCTCAACAAAACTGCCCAGTCTGTCATTAACCTCTGTTAAAGTGTAAGCTGCCAAACCAGGCTACAGCACAACAGATTAATGTAGTAAAACACGGTCATCATTCACCAACTATTAAATGAATTTGTTGTCAATAACTGGAATTTGATTCAAACAAATAGAAACTTATTTGCGTCCTGTTTTGTTTCCTCCGCAGCCTGTAACTGCAACCTTCACGCCCGAAGGTGTCGTTTCAACATGGAGCTGTACAAGCTGTCGGGGAGGAAGAGCGGAGGAGTCTGCCTCAACTGTCGCCACAACACAGCAGGTCGCCACTGCCACTACTGCAAGGAGGGCTACTACAGAGATCTGTCCAAACCCATCTCACACAGGAAAGCCTGCAAAGGTACAGTGCTGTTTTTTTATCCCTCTTTTGTTTTCTCTTTGGCCACCACAGTCACAGCTGGTCAGGTGGCCATTTTTGAAAGTTAAATTACATAATAAGTTATTTAAAAAAAAAGTTATATTAAAAAAAAGTCAGTAGAGATAAAGAAATTAGTCCTTATACAGAAAAGTTTTAAAATACATGTTGTGCAAAAAGCCAAATTTAGGATTGTATTTTGTTTTGCTGTTTAAATTTTTTTTTTTTTTTTTAAATCTTATCAAAATATTTATTAAAGAATATAGAAAAACATACACACAATACTTGCATACTCAATACAAGCCACTACTGAAATTATTTAGGTCTGAAACGAAACAGTTTTAGATGAATTACAGTAAGTGGGGGGAAGCCGACAGTCTTCACATTCCTGAGCCTGTCTCACCTTCATCTCCCCCTGTCAGCGGAGATGAGTTGAGGGTCTGTCGGGATTGTGGAGGTCGTGGTGGTATGGGCGGGTTGGGCTGGGTGTTCCCTCATCGACACTGAGTTATTTGGCTTCATTCGGGTGGGTTAAGGAATGACAGGACAAGCAAAACAAACAGAGCCGAGGTGCGAAGTGATCCCCTGATGCAGGTCAAAGATGAACGAGAAACCCTGGAAGATCGGTGGAGGGGCTGCTGCAGAGACAAGGAGGAAGGCGAGGCTAAAGTCAGGTTCAGAGGGGCGGCAAGAGAGTGAAAAATGGCAGGGAGAGAGGGAGGGACGGATGAAGGGTAAGGAGAAGAGGAGGAAATGAGGAGGACCAGAGGGACACACCCCCACGCAGGTGTGCTCACCACTCAGTGCTGGGATGAATTGCCTGCCATCAGCCCTCACCGTAGCTAATAAGGGTCAAAGAAAGAGAGGAGGAGGAAGCGGGTGGTGGTGGTGGTGGTGGTGGTGGTGGNGCAAGAGAGTGAAAAATGGCAGGGAGAGAGGGAGGGACGGATGAAGGGTAAGGAGAAGAGGAGGAAATGAGGAGGACCAGAGGGACACACCCCCACGCAGGTGTGCTCACCACTCAGTGCTGGGATGAATTGCCTGCCATCAGCCCTCACCGTAGCTAATAAGGGTCAAAGAAAGAGAGGAGGAGGAAGCGGGTGGTGGTGGTGGTGGTGGTGGGGGGGGGGGGTATGTTTTCTCACCTCTTCTATTGCTGCAGGGAAAGATAACAGGAGCTGAATCCCTGTGCAAACAAGCCCGGAGACACCTCAGAGTCGCTCCGTAAAGATACAGCTTGCACACACACACACACACACAGAAATACACGCATACCTGACTGAGGGTTTCAGAGCGCCCACTTCCAAAGGCAACGCATGAGGGAATATTAGCTGCCTGCTGACAGTTTAAGCCTGAGTTTTCTTATATCATTCACCAGGGAGTAAATAAATAAACTGACCAAATCTGCCAGTTTGCATTCTTTGGCATGTCTGAAGAGTAAAACAAAAAAAAAATTAAAAAAAATCTGATGTCGGTTGAGACGAGAAAATAATCTATCAGTTCCCAATTTGCACCTTTTCCCTTTTCGGAAAGTACATTTTTCCATGATGACATACTTAGTGCTGCTGTAATAAAAACATTTGTCAAACATGTCGCATTTAGTCTCATTAAATTCCTGACATCCAGCAACCATTTCAAGCACGTTTCATTCTCTGCATGCACGCAAATTCATAACAAAGCTCTCTGACAAATGCATCCATTTATTCACCCCTGCAGCCGCTCATGAGTGATATTCCTAAACTGACATTAACACCCTCTGTGGCTTTGGGCCCATTCTCCTGTCGAGCAGGAATGCAAACAGACATTCATCACATGGGGACGTTGTGTATCATTAACCCTTATCCTCTGCTGTGTCTACCAGGCGAGCTAATTGTGGAGATTTAACCTCTTTTTTTTTTGTTATTTTTACATCCCTTCTCATGTGTCCAAGACTTGATTCTTTCAGCATCCCATAACTCACTTTCATGGGGGTTCGTTTCTCGCAACGGAAAAATTAGATGCCTCAAGGTCGTGCTGTGCATTTCTCCACAGAATTAAGAGACATTTGTTTCTTTGCGCTTGTAGATAAGAGAGACACTTTACAATATACAATAGACAAACTAGAGCATAAAAGCATAACTGCTAATTAGTAAGATGTGCATCAAAATACAGCTTTTATTCCATTCAGGTAAATAATGTTTGAATTTATCATTTTATTATCATTATATCACAATTTTCTCAATTTTACACATTTTAGATGATAGAGACCTTCACATTTTCAATCAGCATACAAATGATGAATCCATGATTGCAGACTGTTTTTTTTCATGACTTTTTTCTTCTTCTTTTTTCCTGCTTGCACTGGCAAGTCTCTCAGTGTGCTAACCACTGAAATGAGAGAGCTTGCAAGCAGGCAGAAGAGAACAAATGCATTAACGGTTCCCATGTTCTGAAGCAGATGAACCGAATTAAAGCAAAAAAAAAAAAAAAACAACAAAAAAAACTGCCTCAGTTCATGTAACGATAAAATGATTTTTACCATACCCCAGAAAAACAGCCTGTCTGCAGTGAGAAAAATTCAGTTTCCACTGATGTGGAAATCTGCTCTCATACGATGATGATGACTAATTTGATGTTAGGAAACTTTGGATAAATGAGTCATGAAGTAAAAGTCAAAACAGTGAGTCAAAAGCTGTGAAAAATGCACCTGTACGGACCTCTGGCATCTGGAGTAAACTGATTATGTATAGTACATGTGCCTCTGGATATGTGGGGCTGGCTCCATATTTTATGTGTGTAAGAACTTTTTGATAACTAGTGCTACTGACTTGGAGCCTGACAGGAACTTGGCCTCCTTCATCTTCATCTGTCCTCTATGCATGAACTCTGTCTCTGTGCAGGCTGGTTTTCTCATCTCTTCTGACTCCGCCTGGTGCTCTCAGTCTCGCTGCTAATGTGATGTGTACATGCAACATTCAGTCATTTTTAAAATATTCAGACTCATGTTTGTATTTTCAGTTTTATAAAGAGTGTAAGAAATAACAGAATCAAACTGTCTCTTGTTTGCAAGCAAAAATATTCCAGCTTCGTAAATGTGAATTTGCTGCTTTTCCTGTTTTATATTCATGTTAATTTAAAACCTTTGTGTTTTGGACTGTTGCTTGGACTCAACAGGCCGTTTGAGGATGTTCCCCCTGTGCTCTAAAAAATTTGCAAATTTGCAATGGTCATTTTTTTCTATTTTCTGACATTTTATAGACCAAATGATAAAATGATCAATTGAATAAAAAATCACAAGACAAGAATCCATAATGAAAATAGTGATTAGCTACAGCTTTAATCATTATTCTGATCATCATCAATTTCATTCTCATTACTCAACGTAAGCACTAACAAGCACAATTTTAGTAAAATTGATTTAATAAAAAAAAAAAAGAAAAAAGAAAAAGATGTGTCACGTTAGCTCCATAAACCCTGTGGAATCCCATAACAATCCAATGATATGACCTACAATAATATTATTGTTATATCATAATTACAGTCCCGTAGGCTCATAGCAGGAGTGCAGTCATGTCACATACTCATTATACCAGAGTCTCCAAACCTGTAAATACTAAATCATCTCACCCACACTAGAGACTCGCTCCGGACTCCTTCACATTCTCTGCTGCCTCTCAACCAACCGAAGTATAAACACATTTCATCATCATTTATAAAATTGTCAGCTTACCCAAACGGTTTGGTTCAATTTAATCCATGAAATTTGCCAGAGTTTATGCACCTCCCACCTCTCCCAGCCCTCCCAGTAATTATATGCAAACACTGTCCAAGCTCTACTGAGGTATTCAGTTACATCAAAACAGACTTACAATAAAGGCTTGTGGTAATTACCCCACACTGACAAATGATACGAAGCATGAACTGCTTCTTTTTGCCAATTAAAACATTTTTGTAAACTATATTTGGAAAGTTACAGATGAATACTTTAAGGATGTGAGTCATTGTATTACGTGCTCTCTCTTTCTCTCTCTCTCTCTCTCTCCGACTCTCTCGCTCTGTTAATGAACTTAAAGTTACCACACACAGCTTTTTCCCCTACATCAAACACCTGTATGTCTTAAGTTATGTTGTCAGAGTCTTGCCCTGCCAAATTCTCTCAGGTTTACCACATCATAACTCAAGATAATTCACTGAAACTCAAACTGCAGAACTAATTTCTGTCTGCTCCTCAAGCAGCGTGAGTGCTGCACCGAAGTGACAGCGATTAAAGAGGTTTGGTTATTTATTGAATTCAAAGAGAAGAGCCCTTTTCTTTTTTTCTGCCGTGTGGCTTTTGGAAGAGAGTGAGCGCCGTAGGAGCGCGGGGCAGGTCGAAGAGCACAAGAGTTCGCTTTTATATGCGTAATACAATCCTCCCAGAAAGCAGCTCATTTCCATAGGAGGCCATTACGAGTAAAAGAGCGCAGAGGCTTATCCACCGCAGAAAGTGAGCCCAGCCCGGTGGCTACATTTACACGGCGAAATTTATAACTTCACCCCTCATTGAGTAAGAGTGTAAACACAGAATACGTTTCGAGCAGCTCTTGTTTGTATATTTAACTGGAATCTGAATAAAACAAAGTGAGTGTATTTGACATAGAACTGCGTGAGTTAAACTTAAAGAGGTGGTAGTGAGATTAAAAAGACCAAGAGATGCAGCACCCTAGGTGGTCTTTTAAAAACACTTGTGACATACAACTGAGATAACAAATGTCACTCTGCAGTGATAACTACATAGAGTTTAATCAGCTGTGTGTTAGCCGTGTTTGTCACGCTGGTACTCATTTTAAAAAGCCTGTCTCTAAAAGTTAAACAGAGCCCATCTCGATGCGAAGCCTAGAGTATATTGAACGACAACAATAACTGCACGAGAGGTCTTTGCCAAATAACGAATGCTGCTCTTGATCAGGCCTCCTCAGAGGACAAGCTAAACTTAATAAGATCAAGCTTGAACAGGTTGGCATTGGTTCTGTGACTGATGGATTGAATTCATGCCTTCACATTCGAATCTGAACTTAAACCATCATTAAATTACATCGGTCAGTGGGATGATGAGGAACATATTTTGCATACAGAGGAAAATTAGGCTTTGATTGAGGGATGGTCTGTTTCAATCAGAATAACATGTTAAAAAACCTCCTCCGCTCTCCCCAGCATATGTCTTCCATTGACACAATAGGTTTTTTTTCTATTCACCACATATAAAATGCTTGGGATTTGAAAAATATTGTTTTTCATGACTTCACTTTTAGCTTTGGATTCCCCGAGGGTGCGCTGATATCAGTGTGTTTTCAATTAGAACAACACACATGTGAATCAAACACCATTCACAAAATAAGCTCACGTCCAACATTTTAGTCGCACTCGGTGGCCAAAAGCAATCACTGTTTGGGCCGTCGCAGCCTCTTATTCTGATCAATAAAACTCCAAACAACGCCATTTAGAAAGCTGCTTATTCAGGATGCTACAACCCAATAACACTGTCTCTTTCTGCTCTCCGAAGATACTTGTGGAGAAGCAGAAACCTAATTATAATAGAACACAGACTCGAGTAGCTTGGCTTCACTCCAGAGCCAACTTCTTATTGGCACAGAGCGCACAAACCGAACGGGGGGAGCAGACTTCAAACAGCAGCTTCATGGTAAACAATTGGCAGAGTTCAAAATTCTCACATTGCGCAATCTCAGTCGTAAGCGCGACTGCCTGCCTTTGAAAATGCCTTTTACTCTCCCCATTAACCAAGAACATATTTCATTCTTTCTCCGGCATGACAGTTATACAGGACTAATACTTGAGATTCAGATCTATGTTGTTGGGAAAAGACCCCACACTCCCTTATATGCACACACCTACACGTGTTATCATAAACTTCTGCCAGTTTTCCTTGCTGGACATGTTGAAACAGAAAGGGCCTCTTGCTCTCTTGTCCCCATATCTCCCTGAGTCATCTGGAGTAGCCATGAAGCAGAGCACACAGCCACTTAACCGTTAAGTGGACACACACTTATCACCAGAACTCTCGCTCACACCCCCAGTAAACCAGTCCTTTCGCCAGCAGGTGGGTCATCCAGCCAACAATTTGTCATCTAAGCGGAGAGTGAGTCAGTGAGTGGATGAGGAGGACCGAATGTGAAGGAGGAGAGGGAGGCTTCCCACCTGTAGACCATGTGCTGTGCACCTTGATTTACTGGCACGCTTGAGGCTCTGAGCCGTGGTTACAGGCAGATGCTCTTAAAAATATAACCTGAACTTTCTGAAGCTCCAACCAGAAATGCACTTTACCCACCTGTGCCTTAGATTCCTGTGACATACTCCTAAATTTACAGGCCTGAGGACGTGCTGGAGTGGCCTCCACGCTGTTTATTGGGCTTCCTGAGACTCTGTGTGTGTGTGTGTGTGTGTGTGTGTGTGTGTGTGTGTGTGTGTGTATGTGTGTGTGTGTGCCGTTCCTCAGTTAGACACAACTAAGTAACGAAAGCAGTGACAGATTGGTCTGATAAAGGCGCTAATAGGTACACACACTTTTAAGGAGGCTCTCTGAGTCTGATAAGAAGGGACAAGTAGCAGCACAAGTACCCACTCACTCACTCACTCACACACACACACACACACACACACGCACACACACACACCGACGAGAGATAAGAGCAGCAACAGAAGCTGAATCACAGGAAACAGGCAATAGAGATAAAAGCCAGAGAGCGTGTGATAGGGAGGCGGGAGGAGGTGGCCTGCCAAAATGCGCAGCCTCCTACAAAATTATGTCCTTCAACCTGGAGGATAGCATTGTCTTCTAGTACTTCACTTGTCAAAATACCTCACAAAGCAACAACTATGTATTTCCTAAAAGTCTGAGGTCAATCGTAAAGAGAACAGATACTGTATTACATTACCACTTTACAGCAGTCTTTTCCCCGAGGCCCGCTGTAATATGGATCTCCCAGAGAGCTCGTGTCTCATACAGCCTGAGTGAATAACAACCGTATCAACACTCTAGGTCAAAGTAAAGATAAAGAACACATTGCATTATAACTGACACTGACAGCGTTTTTTTTTTTGTTTGTTTTTTTTGTTTTATGGATAAATGAAATTCACCCAAACAATCACATAACATCTGTTCCAACAGTCACATTATATTATTTAATCCATTCAATTAACATACAGTAGAAACCTGCGGTTTTGATTGTGTGTATAAAGCTTCACTATTAGTCGAAAATTGCTTTGGCGTTTATACATATTAAACACTGCAATAGGCTGAAATGAACAGACTGCTTTGAAGCTTTCATTTTGTACTGTGGGCTGAACAGTCTGTGTGGTTAAAAACAAAACAGGCCAGACCACTAAATACCCCCACAAACCTCAAAGTACATAATTCAGCTTCGCCTTTGAAGGCTTTCAGAGTGACAAGTGACACAACGCAGAAAAAAAAAAAAATCTTCAGGGAGGGGCAGCGAATGATCAGAGCCGACCCAACCCTGGGGCTGAGAGTCAGCATCACCGGTTTTCCATAGGAAATAAACAGAAAATATAACACTTGTGGGAATGAGGAATATAGTGGTGGGAGTTTGGTGACAAACTGCATTTTTGGCTTTGTAGGTTTTTCAAGTAAAGAAGTGGATATGGTGATAGATTATCACGGCTGCTCTGGTCTGGGTTAGACTGTCAGGATTTACTGTACGGACTTGTGTGGACTCCTCTTGCCAGAGTCACTACTATTTATGAGCAGAAACAGACGAAAAGAAACAACTCTCAGACAACTATTATTCAACACTGAATTCAAACCTGACAAGGGTTTGGCTGTGAAATAAGTCAAGGGCTTGGATTGGGGGCAAGCAATTGGAAAATGATTACATTCCTGAAGCATATGTGTTCGATAGACCCCCCAAGTTTTGGGAGGAAGTGTGACAGACGTTTTGGGCTCACGTTCAAAGCTTAATCAGAAACAGGCAATTAGGATTATCCTCCATTATTTTATCATTTTGTAAACATGCACAACCCTCTTTACCTCACATACTCAGCTGCAGCCCCACACACACACACACACACACACACACACACACACACACACACACACACACACACCAAGGCCAAACAGAACACACAAACACACACAGATAATTGTGATTCAAGATTATGCTGATACTGTATTTTAGCTGCTTGTAATTACGGTACATGTGATGGCTACATGCTAATTAGCCAATTAGCGAACAGCGTCAAAATGTCAAGAAATGCCTGTGGACTTCTGAGGATGTGTTGCTCTCTCAGTCATGACGCCACACTCGCTGCGATGTTGAACTTGAGAAGGTTTTGTCTGTCTGTGCACGCCTCCACCTGCCTCTCACCGCCCTGTTATTGTTGCCACCACTGCTGTCGTTGCTGCTGTGTACCCACCTGCACTTTCTATAGACAGTATATGTTTGTATCTCCCCACACATGTGTGTGTGTGTGTGTGTGCGTGCGTGCGTGTGTGTGTGTGTGTGACCACTCACTTTGCCTCTCTTTCTTCCTCTGTTTCCTCACAGCATGTGATTGCCATCCCGTGGGTGCTGCTGGCAAAACCTGTAACCAAACCACAGGACAATGTCCCTGTAAAGACGGCGTGACTGGTATCACGTGCAACCGCTGTGCTAAAGGCTACCAGCAGAGCCGCTCGCCCATTGCCCCCTGCATAAGTACGTGGAACCAGTCTTTACCACATCTGCCTCACTCTGGGACCATATGGTCTATTGCACACATTTGAAAGGAAGGGGGCACACCTGACACTGCAATCTGTGATGATACACACACACACACCCATACACACACGTGCATATTCAAATCATGCACAGTCAAACCAACACATAAACACACCAAAACACACACTATGACAGCAGACGCTCCTACGCTGCTTTAAATCCTCTCATCCTTTTCTTCAGACAAGTGCTTAGTGTCCGACTCTCGGTTTTCTGACCAGTTTATCTGCTGTCTTAAATAAACACACCATTAAACCGAACCTCAGGGTTACGGCAGCACAGCCCTCCCGGCCTGTTGGTCTCCATAAATCTAAGTTAAAAACCCAGAGCTGTTAACACCAGCATCTCCAAGCCCCGAAGTGTCTTAGATAAAGACTGCACAAAGATTTTGGTGATTTATAAAATCAGAGTTGACCTCAGTATCCATTGACCATTTATAAACCAGAATATGTCCTGGGTATTAAAGCTGAAAAAGTACAGTATTGCCTTAGGGCTTAAAGCCCCATAGCTAATAACAATTCATGGACATCGATTGGCTCTTTTGTTTCAAACAATGTGCTTTAATTGGGGCTCTTGCCATCATAAGAAGATGCAAGGAATGAAATTCTTATGAGGATTAATCTCTACATGGATATGTATGGCTGGTATTAAAGGAATAAATGAAATCAACTTATCAGACATCTTTGTTTCCTGGGAACGTTAAGTCAGAGCTGAGGTGTCAAACACACAGTGATCCCTGTAAAATAAAGCCCCTCTCTGATGATCGCTGTGTAGTTTAATTTAATCTATAACAGCCCTTTGTGAGATTCAGCAATAGAGATTGCCAAGTTTCATTTCAATCGAGCGTCATATTATATTTTTGACTTTGTGTATACCTTCCAGCGCTGTCAGCCATAAATCTACACGAGTCAATTACGAGAACCAGGCTCATTATTTAAACTGGCACGCGTGGCGACCGAATACTGATGGAGGATTGCTGATCAACAACGGGACCTCTGGGCTTCAGGCGCCATTGTTTTGGCAGTGATTGTTTTTCTTGTCATTATATAGACCAATTCGTCATGGGAGAAGGCCTCATTATGTCTACAAGTCAACAACGGGCGTGCACATCATTCCACAGATTCTGATTTATGGTGCACAATTGACGTAAATGTTGTGTACGTTCAGAAAGTAGGAACCAGGTTCCCTCGATCCCCGCTGAGAAAATCTGATTTGACTTGATCAAAAGACTTGATTCTTTCTTTCTTCCCTCGTACACAAACTCTTCACCTTTGCACAGCTGTAACCACCGCTGTTGTGCACCTCTTCCCTTAGTTTGTCGTCCTCTTTCTTTGCATGTGTCTTTGATACATCTCTGTGGTTTTGCCTTTTGTCCTCGTATCCCCCCCACCACCACCCCCACCCTTGCTGCTCTCCAAAGACTTTTTTTTGATGAGCCCCTTCTCTCCCTCCTGTCCACAATAACAAAAAAAAAAGGCATTATGTGTGTTTTATACCTTCTGTTGCCGTCCTGCCCCTTTGGAGATAAGAGGGCCGTTCTTCGTGCATGGTTTCTCTGAGTGTCAGCTTCCTACCCACTCGTGAATACAGCAGAGTATGAAGGAAGGCTGAGAGAATCAAGTCTTTGGAAATCCAAACTGCCACCGTTGCAGCGGGCTGCAAGGGAGGAGGATGAAACAGAGAAATACCAACTGGATGAAGAAAGATACATTGAAAGTAATTAACAATATTTATTATAAATAAACCCCATTAAGGCTCTAGGACAGGATACGACTGAGATCCTGGTGTTGAAAGAGTCAACAGGTAGATGATTTCAAATTATTAAAAAAATGCCTCTATAAGACAGATTACAGTAAAGAGATGAAACAAAATTAGGGTGCAGAGAGATGTGGAATGAAATGAAGCAAAGGTCCCCACCTGGAAGTTGTGGTTCATGGCCGGTGCCTAAATCCGGTTGCCACCTCTATCGAACATCCATCGGCCAATTGGTTTGTAGAATGCAAGACGAAAGTTTCTGTTTTGAAAGGAAAGTATGGTGAAGATCCATAAGGTAATTAAAGCAGGAAATGAAACTGTGATGAACGTGAATGTAATGAAACAGTTTTCAGTTGCTGTAATTTGAAATATTGCTGTTTAACTGTTTCAGTAACGTATCCCTGTCCAAAGTGAACTCAATAACTACCTCAGCTTTGCTCGGCCCAGCAGCAGCAGCAGCAGCAGCAGCGACACGCTGAAAGCTTTCGGCTCATTTCACAGAATTGATTTCTCCATCCCTTTGGACTTTGCAGGCCTGTTATCGGTCAGATATAGTTATGGAGGAAATTTGTGGATGAGGAACTTTGACAGTGTCTGAGATAGAGGCTTGAAATTTAAGAATGAAGATTGGAGAAAGAAAAAGATATTAATTTAACAGTAGGATGAATAAAAGATAGGGGGAAAACATCTTCCTTAATGGACTGCACAAAAACTTAAAATGTATATTTTTGCACCTTGACCCCCAGATTATACAAATGTCTTTTTCGAGGCTTTTTTAGCATCTTATACCTTTTACTTGAGACTGTAAAGAGTTGACACAAAATCACATGTTCAGTGTTTTCAAACCGGAGAGGAAACCCTGCACTGCCATTATGACTGAATTTGAGGTATGAGGTATTTAGTGAATTTGCAGCCAACCATTAAGCACAACAATTGTGCATTCACGCTAAAAGCTTGTCTGTTGAAAAAAGAAAATCACCGAGCTTTGAGGGACTCATGGCCCCTAACACTGACATATTTCAATTCCTTTCAACTGTTTTACCTGAATCCTTCCTTATCAAATATGCACATTCACATACTGTACCACCATGCATGCGCACAAAGACAAAAACATGTGTACTGTCAGATGCAAGTAATAATGAAACTGATCTTTCTTTGTGTGTATGTTTTCTCTGCGAGTAGAGATTCCAGTTGCACCTCCCACAACCCCGTCCAGCAGCACAGAGGAGCCATCAGGTGAGTACAGTTGAGAGTTATATAAAGTTATATTCAACAGCCACTACACATCCACACAAATACATTAGGTCTTTAGGGAAGGATGATGTGAATATTATGGAAGTACATAAATTAATATGGCATTTTCCAACAGTTCCAGGCCACAAGTGTAAAAAAAAAACAAAAAAAACAGACTGCAGGATAAATTGGATCCCTCTTGCCTTCCCCCTCCTTATTAGGGGTTCATGAATATTAAATCCATTAGCAGCAACCCTGGGATGTGCCCCCTTTAATCTCTCACACTTTCACGATTAATCAGTCTAACTGCGGCACAGTGGGATGTTGGTCTAGCGTGCAGCACTGGGGGCTGGCAGTTTGTTTTATTTGATGATTTTTCATCTCTCCAAACTCCCTCGTTTCCCAGTCTCTAATGCAGAGAAGTGAGAGAAGGACTGACTGAGGGGACCGGATCTTGTAATGTAGCGTAAGATTCAGTTTATTTATTTATTTATTTTTTTTTTCCATCCGTTCAACAGATGATTCCTGTTTGAAATTTTTGCTGTAACGTTGTGGATTTTACCGTCTTATCTGTGAGGACAGGATATGACATCAGGATTAGTCGCGGTACATCAGATGATATGACCTGAAATCTATATAACAATAAACTGTCAGAATGGGTTCAATAATGGTAATTGTTCTTTAATGCGTCAGTGCATGAGCCTGATAGGTCTAAAATTCAATATGTGATTTAATATTAGAATTGATAAACTCCTTAATTCATTTAAATGCAGTTGCACAGTTGATGGCATAAATTCTACAAATGTGAAACAAAAACACGTATCTTGCTTTGACAGTACTAAACAGACATACCTGCGCAGACCCTGTTGCAATAAGCTCCGTGTTTTGTCCTCATGGTGGAAAAACTTGAGTCATCTGTTTGCTCTGGTCTCCCCTGTGAAGTTGCAGGAGGCCCAAGGTATATGCGTACGTGTATGCGAGTGTGTGTAAGAGGCTCCTGCAGCTGTTGTCGGTTGGGCCCTCCGAGGTCCCCAGCTTCGATTGACAGCACAGTCAGGATATCGCTGGTCCCAACCCCCCCCCACTTCCCCCGACCCCAACCCTCCTCCACCTTTTTTTTCTTTTCTCTTTCAGTCTCTTTTCGCTCTCCTCCACCTCCTTCGTCTCCCTCTGTTTCACGCTTTGTCTTCACATAACACTGTGGGTGGTGCCGAGCTGGAATATCTGGAGTTTCTCTGGGCCCCCTTGTCAGGAATCTGTCCACTCTTGGAGAGTAGGGAATTTTTTCTTCACCTCATTGAGGAATTACTGGATAAGTGAGAGAGGACCTGTATTATTTTATCAGCTTAAATAAATGCAAAGAGATGATTTATTTCCTATTTTAGCATTTCAACAGTGAGAAGCAGAAAGAATCCTTTATGGATATTTATGTTCTTTTATATGAAACCTGTCGCCATACCTCTCCATCCAGTTCACTGTTGCTATGTGAAATCTTTGCCTGTGGCTACATCTTGTTGCAAAAAATCTTCCTTTTATAATCCCATTTATTAAACCGTGTCATTGAACAAACGTAAACACAACCTGGAGGAGACTGTGTAATGACTTGGGCTTCGAAGCCACAGATAATCTAATCACAGTCGAGAGTCCTGGGAATCCCCTCTCATATGTATAATGGGCAGGGGTCTGTTCAGCCCAGAGAGGTTGAAACCAAGCAGATTGCAAAGTGGAGCACCTTGATGGACGTCCTGCGTTGGTCATGTCAGAATCGTGAGTAGCTGAGGGTCCCGCTGGACCACCCGGTGCTTGAGGCCCAGAGGATGCATACATTACCCTCTGAGCCTCCTCGGAAGGTCGCAGAGCAAACGCACCTCTGCTCGGCAACAGTGATGAAATCACCTGAAATGTGATGGCAAACAGATGTGGTGATTGTATCATAGTATTAAACTATATTTTCTACCTCAACCCATCAACAGTACCTCCAGGAATATATATTAATATTTAAATTTGTAGAATTATTGTATATTTTTTATATATATCATTATTAATAGTAGTAGTAGCATTAGGAGGAGGTGAACAGAATTTAAGAATTTTAGTTTTGAGGTACATCAGCGCTTTACATGGAAGGAAACTACACAAAGCAATACTGCAATAAATATATAGTAACAAATATATATATACATATATGTATTATATGTATATATATATTTTGATGATACACATTACCTTTTATGTGGACACATTTATAATACAAGAAGAAGAATTGAAAAGGGGAATTGAAAGGGGAAGAAGAAAGGCTGGGAAAATAGAAAAACAAAGAGGATGAAGAGGAAGAAACAGGAAGAGGACAATCTAAAAACCACAGGACAGAAAAAAAAAACCACAAGGAAAAATAATTTTTTAAAAAAGGGATGTGGACTGATGGGGAGAAGAAAACAGTCTGGTGGCTAAAAGGCAAGTGAAGGAAGAAGATGCTGAAGAAATGAGAAAGGATTTAATGATCAATTAAGAAATTAATTTTGAAATAAAGGTGAAAAGGGAAAATGTGTGTCTGCTCAAGAGTGTGTGCGTGAGTGTGATACTGGAGGGTGTCAGGCTGACAGCTGTGAGGCAGGTGTCTCGTTGTGCCTCACTCACGGAGGGATGGCGAGGGGTGGCGGGGGGGTTCTCTTTTTTTTTTTTTTTTTTTGTCAGGGGGTGAAAGGAGGGTGTGAAGGAAAATGGAGTGGATATTAATTTGTCTCCTGCAGCAGGGCTCTCCCCCTTTCGACCACACGTAGGGCTGGAATGCATGGAGAATACCTCCGATGGTGTGGCCCAGACAAAACACACATTGTGCTGGTAGGTCACGGATGGTGTGTGTCACCACTCCCATGGGTCGTGACAGAGACGTCTGCACAGCAACGAAATGTGGAGGAGATTAACCGCTGATGACCTGTGATGGCCGCCCGGGCCGGTCAGGATACACAGGATGTGAAAGTAACTAATGATGATGAGGAGAAGGAGAATTGGAGTGACGATGATGAGGCTCATAAGGGTAACAAGGTTCAGTCGTGTGTGTGTGTGTGTGTGTGTGTGTGTGTGTGTGTGTGTGTTGTCTGGGGCTGGAAGTGATCACAATCTGTGGCGGACCCCTCCTTAGATTTTTTGGACATGAGTCTTGCTTCACACACCCTGTTCCGTACTTGCCGACTCCACCGCACTTTACAGTCATGTCAGCATGGGATCTTGTTACGCTGCTTAATTGTGTGAGCGAGTGAGAGAAGAAGTAATGGTAAAGGACATGTTTCACAATGAGCAAAAAATAGAACAGCACAGTATCAAATTCTCATTATCAGTTTAAAACTTGTTGCATGGAATTTCTGTGCATGGATGACACGAAAAACCCTCGCGGGACTATTTCCTCTGTCCGTGTCTAAGCTTTGGGTGATAACCAACAGGAGTCCCCGCTGATTCATCTGAAAGTCATCAGTTACAGTTACGCAGGACGACTCATCTCACTGGTTGCCGGTTGCACACCACCACCCGAGGGTAAAATCTCGAATCAGGTCAAGAACTCTAACAACCTCTTCACTGGCTGTTGTCTGCCAAAAACAAACCCATCTTTTACTGTGACAATACAATGAGAGAAGAGGTGGGGGTGAATGGGGGAGGGGGGGAGGGCTCCCTCTCTTTCTTTCCTCCTTTCTCTCTCTCGTCTTTTGTTGGACGGGATCCAAACTCACGGCTCTTGGTGTGAGCGGCCCAGCACAGTGCAGAGGAGAACAGAGCAGGGCAGCACACTGGGCTCCATAATCTAATTACATGCTTTATTTGCTGCAATTTGTTTCTCAATCAGTGTGGTTGAAGGAGAAAGCCCTCCTCCCGAGCCGTCATTTACACCTCCTTGTCTCACTGCCCTGCCTCCGTGGACACGTTCATACTACCTTGTATCTAGATGCATCCAAAGTGTGTCTAGATGTAGCTGATATGCGTGTGCTGTTTACACCTGGCTTTGACTCGAGAGACCACTTCAGATCAGATTTCACTTGCCGGGGTACATTTGATTTTATCTGTTTGGAAACTGTGAAAAGCCGCTGAACAGAAGTAAAAAAAAAAAAACATCTTTATATTCAGCCATATTGCTAAAGAAGTGGTGGCGGTGATGGTTAGTTTGAAACTTGGACCGTCAGCTGCTTTTCGTAGCTGTCAGATCAACAGGTGAGGGGTGTATTTTCGACCGCTTACCTCCTTCAGCAGCTCTGAATGTGGCCTGAATCTTTTGACTCCAGCGTGTCTTCGATACAGTTCAACCTACTATCTGCAGGAGTTGCAACTATATTGGATAGTAATGGTGGCTCAGAACTTACATCCAATGCCAACATTCACTGATGACGCAAGAAGTGGGCCCTTTATTTAGCAAGTTGGAAAGCACGTCATACTTTCCTTTTTCCCTTTTTTAGTGGCAGTAACTATGATCTTTCCCCCCACCTCAACCAAGGGTTTTATTTGCCTAATCGTATCCACACCCTCATCATAGTTTAAATACCATAACTGTTCCCTAACCTGAGCCATACTGTTCTCTCCACATTCAGAGAGAGTAGACTCATCCAATGTTGACATTCTTGTCTGGCGATGGCACCGGGGTTGCTTAAAACATAATTTCTGCTACTGACATCTGATCAGATTGCCCAGGTTTATTCAAGCACCAAGTATTAACTGCAGCTACATCTGGCCTACAAGAGGACCAGAGGCTGTAAGCAGGGATTCAGACGGAAAATGTGTTGGGCCTGTGTTGTAGGGGGCGTGTTGCTTCAGGTACTATGAAATATGATCCAGAAAGTCTATTCGGCAATCGGTGTCTTTAAAGTCTTATCAGACACCAAATACACTGCATGGTGGTTTATAATATTCAGACGCAGCATTTTACTACTCAGTGAAGTGATCACAGCAGCAACTCTTATCTTCGGCAGCAACGGTTACAAAGTAAACAGTAGAAAAATGGCAAAGTCCACAAGGAATTTGCCCTTGCTCGTCACTGCAGTGCTTTGTCCTATGGCATCACGTTACAGCAAAATTGGAGTCAGGTCAAATTTTTTGCTGGATGACCCTGCGAGTCTTCTGTGTTGGCAACCTCACTGTGCCGCCAGATTGCACCGCACTTTGTTTGAATATCGCCAACTCGAATAAGTGAGAGGGCTACGTTTTGTCATGCAAGCTTAAAGTCGGTCTGAACGTGTCATAAGGAAGCAGGAACCCTGAAATCCGTTCATGTAAACATTATTACCTTGTATCAAGAACTGAACCTGAACGTTACACATGCACCATTTTGTCATAGATTAATGTTCGCCTCCAAAAATGTCTTCTTTCCTCTTTTGCTTAAATTGTATGATCGGCTTGTTGGATAATCGTCTTCTACATTGTGCAGAGATGTTGATTTTGATTTAAAACATATCAGATTTATTTTTTTTTCTTTTCAGGCACATTTGCATTGACTTTAACCAGCCATGGTTGCTCTTCATTTTACCATGGCTCTTATAATCTGAGTGTTGATCATACATATTTGAGCTTACACCTCAACTGATGTTGAGGGTCAATAAGCAAACCTGCAGTGGGTATACACAAGCTACTGGACAGCACTATCTACCACTCATTTTTATATTTGGGGCAGGTTTAACTATGCACCACTGTACTACCTATCTTACACTGGCAACTGAGCTTAACCCAGGCCTAGTTTTGCTTCCATCTATGGGCATAGCAGAGTTGTACAGTACTGTATCCTGTTGTGGAGCAGCTTGAGTAAGAAGCATCCCGAATGAAAACGATTAGGTTAAAGGGTTATACAGCACTTTGATAGAAGGGGCAAAGGTCCACCTCTCAGTTACGCACTTCTCAGTGCTATGAAAGGCAGGAAACAAAGCGCTGTAGTAACTACATGTACTCAGAACACCCAAAGCACATCTTAGCACAGTGCCACAGGACTGCTCCCACTTCCCCTGCTTGTAACGCACACACAAAGGGAACATTTGTCCTCACGGTAGGGGACTGCCTTGCCCTAAATGGGGGTCTTGGGGTGCTCTCAGCGGGGCCCGGAGCTGTGTCTCAGGGGTACACTAATGGGGAACGAAAGGCTATCAAGGGGAAGTATCATGATGGCATCAAGGGGGGTTACGAGAAAACAAAGCTTTCCTTTCCACGGCTCCCCCCCTCGATCATTTACATGGTAATCAGGTGCAGCTCATAGAGACTCCTCATTTACTTTGCCTATTTTTGTTACTCTCTCTATTTACCACCACCAGCTTCAGCTTTGTGGCCTGCTAACCAGCTTGTCGGGCTACCGGCTTTGGTTTTCCTTTTTGAGCTGATTTTGGGGTTTTACTAAAATCCTGGCCCTCCTCCTCTTCTTCTTCTTCTTCTTCTTCTTCTTCCCACCCCCCTGATAAACTCCACTTCTGTCTTCTTTTTTTTTTTTTTTGTCAACCTCTCCACCCTTTTGCTCTCTACCAGTATCCATTCTCCCGCCTCCTTCTCACTCTTTTTTTTGGGTGCATTTTTTCCTGTTGTGGTGTTCCCCAGGCAACCTCATTCAAGCAGAGTATAAAGGGGAGTAAAGGCATGGAGCAAAGATCTGGTCACAACAATGCAGTTTGTTCATATTCAGGCTGCCTGAAAGCTCCAGTCCTTCTTCTACCGCCCCATCACTCTTATCCACTACTACTCACTGTCCATCCATGTCTTCCTACCTCCTTCCTACCCTCTTTTCCTTTACTATACTCATTACAACTAGTGTAAACTAAATCAGTACACTGGATCCAATTTATGCCAGCTGGGAGAGGGCTGAAAGAGCAGAGAAACTGAGAAAATAACTTTTTTTTTTTTTTTTTTGATGATGATGATGATGGTATGGCCTCACATCACATTATTCTGGCCCTCACTGTAAGTGGCTGGCAGTGTGACAGCACAGCATGGAGTAATCACTGAAGTTATGCACTCTCTGGATTGCAGGGGCCAGCAAAGTGGAGGGTGGGATCTATTGTTGCCTCCTCCACCTCACAGTAATCTGTCATAAAAGAGTGATGGAGACACATGTCACTGTTGTCAACATGTTCTTTACTCAGAGAACTTGCATATCTTTGACGCCTTGCATTATGTATTTGTGTATCGAGCGGTTGGTGGCCTTGTTTCTGTCCCTATACAGTGTGAGTCATCTTTTCGTTTTTTTTTTTTTTTTTTTGAATCAGGGTGGATACTCAAATGTTCCCTATCCTCAATCGCACTTGGAATATACTAATTTTAATCGAGGATCCACAAGACGGTTTCTTAAACAGTGTCCAACAAATATAGAAAGTGATCCAGTTGTTATCCAGAAGATAAATCAAGCTGAAATCAGCTGCCTCAAAGAGTGTGTAGCCGCGATTTGGGTGACCCCTCTGCCTGCGTGAGGTATTTATTTGTTCACCGTGTCCAGAGTGGACGTGACACCCCCACCCCTCCCCGAAAAGGGTCCTCTGCCTAACGCTTCATGGATGGCTAATTTTCCCTTCCTGACCTCCTTTTGTGTGGCATTGACCTGCTTCACACCCCCCACCTTCTACTCCTTCAAATAGCTGCCAGCCCCCTGTGCTCTTCCCCCCTTGTCCACACTGCAATAAATGCAAAAGCTTGACATGGTTCTCCGTGGGGCCTTGAAGTGATCCCGGGGTTATTTTTTTCGGGAGGTCGGGGGCTGAGGTGACAAGCGAGGTGAGATTTTTGGAGGGAGGTGGGGGTTGATGTGGGTGGAGGGTGGTCTGCACAGGCCTGACTCCTTCCCACAGTCTGACAGGGAGTGAGTGGGTAGATGGCAGTGGTCATTTGGATTTCTCCCAAACAGCTGCTGGTACCATCAGCTCCATTCAGAGGTCCTCACCATCACGCACAGAGGTTGTAGACATGGTCGGAGGGTAAAGCGCCTCCACCGCAACCCATCATAGTCTCATTAGACAACACAATCAAACCAGACAGATCTGTGTCAACCAATCAGCCAAAAGAATTATTGAAGGAGGTGCGGTCATCAATTCTAGTTCTCTAAACTTGTTATCAACAGGATCCAGTAGGCAGATGTAATTCCTTTTTTCGTCTTACTAAATCTGCCTTTAGATGAACAAAAACAAAAACCCTGACCCAAAAAGGTATGGGATGACAGAAATAGAAACAAGGTGGCTCTTAAAGCAGCTGACTCAATTTTGGAAAGTTGTTAAAGCTCTGCCACACATGGAAATGTAGGCATAGGAAAATATTCCATATGCTTCAAGCTGGTGGAAATTATAAAGTTCACTGTGGATTGGTTTCCTAACGGTTGCATCAACTAAACTCCCAGCTCATCTATAGTATAGATAATTTTTTAGATATAATTTAGATAATAATACTTTTTTTTTTTTTTTAATTGTAGAATTTACACTGTAAACAGGAGATATTTACCCTGTTTTGTTTTTGTTTTGTTTTTGACATGGAAGATATGAGGTAAATGACTCATTGTAAATGACCTGAATTAATGACCTGATTACTTTAACTATTTACAAAAAGACTAATTTAATTTTCTTTTCTATCCAATTCATTAAATTTTTAATAAACGGTGGAATATTTTTAGATTGTCTAACTATTATTCAATTTTGAAAATAATTATTTGACCAAATTCTGAACCAATTTTCAACATTTGAAAATAAATAAAATATATACAAAACAAATTAGTCATGCATGTTATAGCTTTGTAACTTAAATAAGGTAGTAGGCCCCACATTATTTCCCCCATGCTCTGAAAATGGCTTTATCTGAAAATGTTTTTAGCCCCTTGTCAGCGACTTATTAACAAATGCTAAAATGTTAAATTCACAAAACCTTTTTCTCCCGTGACTAAAACGACAGACTGTAAACACATTACTCCATCATTCCTTCATCACTTGTTTTCTCCCTCTAGCTCACTAACTGTATTTTTCCCTCTTCTCATTCCTGCAGACTGTGACTCTTACTGCAAGGCGTCTAAAGGCAAACTGAAAATCAACATGAAGAAGTACTGCAAGAAAGATTACGGTGAGTCAACAGACAACACACAAGCCCATTTAATGACTTGGATTAATGCTCATTTCAACAGGAAAACACATGCTCTGATGGAAGAAACATACAGTTTCCTTTTCTGGGAGCACTAGAATGACTTTGCAACATTTTTCTCTCTCTGGTGTTTACTGCTTTTGCACCATGTCCTCCCCACGGTGCTGGGGAGCTGCTATAGTTTACAGGGGAGGCATTTTACTGATGGCTTACTCCAGCTTTCTGAGCGCAGAGACAAAGGATCAAACACAAGACAGCACATCTTAAAGGAGGAAGAGAGAAGCAGACAAACAGGAGAGAAAGGACAGGATAAAGAATTAGGCTGAGGTGTGTGTGTGTGTGTGTGTGTGTGCTCCCCACGGTGCTGGGGAGCTGCTATAGTTTACAGGGGAGGCATTTTACTGATGGCTTACTCCAGCTTTCTGAGCGCAGAGACAAAGGATCAAACACAAGACAGCACATCTTAAAGGAGGAAGAGAGAAGCAGACAAACAGGAGAGAAAGGACAGGATAAAGAATTAGGCTGAGGTGTGTGTGTGTGTGTGTGTGTGTGTGTGTGTGTGTGTGTGTGTGTGTGTGTGTGTGTGTGTGTGTGGGGGAAGAGTTGTCTCTGAGCTGGCATTTAAAGACCCGAGCGGATAAAGCAAAGGCAGTGTGACGGACAGTGGGTGCTCTCTAAGAGATCCTCATTAAGGCAGCCCACTTCCCCCACCGCCGATGTTTTTTCTCGCTGCATTCCTGTGAGCGTCCGTCCGCCACGCCATTCAAGGTGTGGATAAGACGTATGACCTCTCCCCTCTCTTCCCCTCCCTCTGTCCCCTCCCCTGATTGAAGTCAGGCTGCTGAACTGGTCAACCAAGCAGCGGCATCCTGCAGCATACCTCAGCAGCTTGACGGACACGCCAGGGCTTTGTTCTGCAGGGATTTGGAGGAGTTAGGGGGTCAGCTTATAGACACCTCCTCTTCCACCAATGCCAACTTTGGTGCTGATGTCGTGAGAAGAGCCTTGTCTCTGAAATATGTACCAGCTCATGCGTGAATGTGTCAGCCACATTGCTGGGTCCTTTTTTTTTTTTTTTTTTTTTATTCTATTTTTTGTTTATAGTTTGGCAAAAAAGGAGAGAAGGTTCAAACTTTCTAATCTCCCCACATATAGATAACAAACAGTCATTTTATCAGCGGAACATTTATGTCAACAGCTATGTAACACTCCAATGATAACAGCTGGCAACATCCATTCAAGGGTGGAGAGGTGTAGAGGTAAAAAGAGACATCAGGATTTCCTGCTGGAGAAAACATCACTCAACATGTTACTGAGTACCCTCATGAGCCTTCCTACTGATTTGGCTTTTGCGTGTGTGTGCGTGTGCGTGTGTGTGTGAGAGAAGTGTAGGGAATCTGCTGGTACTGATGTTTGAGATAATACCAAGCAAAAGACAAATGGAAGTTCCCCTTTTGCACCAGTGTTTTTGTGTGTCAGTGCAGGATATTTTTATGTAAGGGGCAGAGTTCGAGGCAGAGTATTAGGGAGAGAAACTTGAGACAGTAGAAACTTTGGATTTTAGTAGAATTTAACTCTATAAGACTGTAGGGAAGGTTTCTTTTCTTTATATTGTTAACAACTCATTAGGTCTACATATAGGCAGTAATTATATACAGACCAATTTAACAGAACAACAAATAATTAGCGCTGCTCTCAAAAGAAATTTTAAAACATATGTATACCATCTAGTTACTATGCTTTTTTTTTCAAATCAGGTTATTATAAAAACATTTAATTCAATCCATCTGTCCACCATTGGTTGTAAGTGCTACATCATCCACTGTGTAATCCACTTTCTCCTCGCCCTGCCTTCACCAGGGGGGCTTTGTGCTGGTTATGTACATGAGAACCACTAAGCTTCTTGTCATATCCGTCCATAGTTTTCAACAGCATATTCAAGATTTCATAACAGACCAGAACAAGACGCATGTACAGTGTTTACCACACGTGAGCTTAGCGAAGCTGATCGAAAAGTCAAAAGCAATATAAATCTGCAGAATAACTCCAGAGAGCCGGAGCTTTGCACTGTTTTGAAAAGATCAGCAGGGGAGCTGGGCTCCATGCTGCCTTGGGAAACGACACTACAAGCTTCTGTGGTCGATATACAAGACGCACATTAAGAATCACAGGAGGGAGAGGGATGCAGGGAGGGGGTGGAAATGTCTGATCTCAGAAAAAAAAATGCCAGGGATAACTATTCCAGGCATTTCAGTGCACACAGTACACAGTACACAGTCATTGTTGTCCAAACACGAAGAGAGAACAGCACCTGGTGGAAGCTGGTAGGTGCAGGGTGCTGCAGAGGTCACTACCATGTCAGAACATATCAGCCAACTGCCACATAAGCCCTCATGGCACCGGGCTTCAGGGGCACTGTAGGAACTGTAAAAGAAAAGCAAGGCTAATTTAACCTATGTAGCACATTTCTTACACGAGGGAAAGCCCAATGTTGTGAATTTGCGGAGTATTCTTGGAGTCTATACTAGATGCCTGACAACCCACAAAAACTCCAGGAACTTACTACACCCAGCCAAGAAATAGTCCGGCATATTACCCACTCTAAAACCACAACTTATCGTTCTTACACTTCGGTTTTTGTACAGATTAAACAAACGAGGCAGATTTTGTCACTTTGGACAGAGCCAGACAAGCAGTTTCCCTTTGAGTTGAGTCTTTATGCTAAGCTAAGATAAGATTTGCGGCATGAAAGCAGAGCAGCGTTTTACCCCAAATATCAAATACCAAAGGAGCCGTGGAAACTAAAATTATGCTCAGGTATGTTTTCAGTTTTCCAAGTCGGGGGGGGGCTGACGGGGGCGGAGAGAGCGGGGGGCACTAATACTATGCTACGTATTAGCTGAGAAAAAAAAATGTTTCAGAAGCAGTTTTAGATCTTCACCGTTCATTAAGTGTGAGTCACAGGGAAGTGATCCAAGATGTATGGTTGAAAACCTGCCCTGAATACGAGACACACTCTTAATTCTGCCATGATGTTCAGCTCCATTAGCTCTACACTGAAGGTGAAACCAGTGACCCTGGAACAAGGTGGTTCATTTCAAAAGCTGTCCCATAAGCACAGGAGAACTTTAATGGAGCTTAATAGAGATCTGGTCAATATAATACATATTGATAGTTGGGGTAGGAGCCATAAGAGGAAGACTTCTCTCTCCTCCTTTTCTCCACTCTTCGTTTCTCTTCCTCTCTCTCTCTCTCTCTCTCTCTCTGAGGACCGTACCAGTTCATTCATCATGTGATATCACTGAGTGTCTTTCCAGTTAACGTCTCTAATAGCCCTACCCTGCCTTCTAATCACATTACAAATCACACTGCTCTGTCAGTAGTAATGGACATGTGCAGCTGTATATCATAGCCGGACCATAGACCAGTCTTTTCCACTGAGGTTATAAACAGTATTTATTCCACATGAGGGTCCATTTATGGACTTAAGGTATCATTTTGTACATATAAGACGTGGGTGCCCTTATACTTACGTTACTTTTAGTTTTTTTTTTCCTGTGATCTCACCACTTCTCTAAGATCTGTTCATTACTTGATTACAGTGCCGGTTGATTTGTCAGTGTTATCAGCAGCTGATATCAACTTAATGACAAAAATGATGATGATCAAGTCAGTAACAATGTCATCTCATGTTTAGTTTCATAATGTAAGAACTCTTAATGCCCCTTAAATATCAGAAGAATAATGAGACACATCTATACTCTGAAGTACAGTCATACCATAAGTTACAATTAGGGCTGAACAATTATTTGAAATATTATCGAAATAGCAATATGGCCAACTGCAAAGGAGCTGCAAATTTTTTTGCTAAAAGTAAAAAGTGTAACAACATACCATAAATGAAACATTGTGTTATGACAGAGATGCCCCGGCCTAAAAACCATATATTTTTCTGATGAAAATGAAATGCAAAAATGACCATTCCAACTGAAATCATGACTGATATTGTAATTGCAAACAATTGCAATATTATACTTTTTTTTTTTTTTACAATCGATTCGTTAGAAGGACTGATTGTTACAGTCCCTGAAATTACAGCACAGCAATTGGGGATGTTCTTGGAGGTGACCACTAGCTATTACTACCAGTAGGACACATCTTCAGTTGTGTAGCTTCACATCATTGGGTGTTTTGGCCTTTTGTCACAAGACACCCTCAGTTGAGGCAGGCCCACCATAAACACCAGTAAATACAGATAAAACTTTGGGTTTCTAAAAATTGTTTAAAGAAATTAAAGCTATTTTGATTCAGAGTTTCTGAGATATTGATGCCAAATCAGAAGGTGTCAGAGGTCTGGATGCAATGACCCCCTCCCCATGCCACAGTATGGGCACTTATAGCACTCACTGTGAGCCTCTCTCCATCTCTCCACACAGTGCTTTATGTGATTGTAGCTGCAAACTCTTTGCTTGTGGTGTGCTGATGTTTTAATAATAGCCACAGCTGGAAAAAGGAAAAAGGGCCTGTGTGCTTTGAAGGAAAAAAAGAAAAGAAAAAAGAAAGCTCCTTTCCTTCCATCATGACAGAGATCTTTGAATGTGGTGGTTACTCCTCCATGAGAAGCTGATGCAGCAAATTGAAGCAAAAAGAAGGTTGTCATTAAAAGAATAAAAATAGCTGCATATCTTCATGCAGGAGAGCGGTGGTTAGTTGACCCACTGTATCTTATTTAATCACCTCAATAAATATCCAATGACAGAGAAATTTCAGTGGAGTACAAATTGTTATAGGGGAAAACTTTCTCTCAGAGGGCCAGGAGTGTATGTGTCTGTATTACCATGGTAAGGCACGGAAAGAATGAGAAGCACTGGGCCACATGATGTTGTGGCCAAACGCTCTGTGTTTAGAGCCGACATGCAGCAGATTGCATGTTAGGGAAAGAAATCTCACATTAAGTGATTTTTTTGTTATCTCTTTTGCTCCCCGACCTCACTCTGCAGCTGTCCAGGTGCACATCCTGAAGGCGGACAAAGCCGGCGAGTGGTGGAAGTTCACCGTCAACATCATCTCCGTCTACAAGCAGGGCGAGAGCCGCATCCGCCGCGGGGACCAGTTCCTGTGGGTCCGCGCCAAAGACGTGGCCTGCAAGTGTCCCAAGATCAAGCCCGGCAAGAAGTACCTGCTGCTGGGGAATGACGAGGACTCCCCCGGCCAGAGCGGAGTGGTGGCAGACAAAGGCAGCCTGGTTATCCAGTGGAGGGACACGTGGGCACGCAGGCTCAGGAAGTTCCAGCAGCGGGAGAAGAAAGGCAAGTGCAAGAAGCCATAGGCCGGAAACGTTGAAGAGGATGCCGGAGAGGAAGAGGAATTCAAGAGAAATCTGAGCGGGTGATTTAAAAGAAAAAAAAAAAGAAAAAAAAAAAAGAATGAAAGAGGGATGGACAGAGGACCACGGACAGAGAAAAGACTGTTTATGTCGCTGCTTTTTTGTGTAGAAGCATGAAGAGAATTATTTAGGTTGATTTGTCTTTTCTAGTGAACTTTTGTTGAAGGAGCTCACCTTGCAGATTTGGTTTTATGGTTTATTTTACTTTGAGATTTTGTCTCTCTTGTGGATTTGCCGAATTTGCACCTATTACCAGTATATAAAGTTATTTGTGTTTGTTTTCGTTATCTCAGTATGAAATCATTATATTTTAATGTTTTAATTTTATGGACATTTTCTGCTGGTGCAAAGATGACACAGAAAAACCCACTTATAACAACCACTGCAATTTTGCCTCTGCATGGTTTTCTTATTGTATTCTTAGCTAAGAAGCGAGCTTGTTTCATCAAAAGTCTTCACTGAGCTAATCGAGGCAGAAATATTTCTCAGAACTGTGCCATAAAGACAATTGTTTCTAAACCACAACATTTAGCTCAATCTGATTCCATTGTTGTACAAGTTCAGGTACATGTGCAAGTCAAGAAACAAGAAATCTCTTGCCCTACATATTTAACTGTTTACAAATTTAGAAAATGCAGGTGACAGAAGAAAACCAAGGATAAAACACAGTATTGACTTAAGCATATTTGAGCTGACTAATCTTGAGCATATTTTTACTCCCGTATCGTATCTGCCCCCTTCAGACGTACCTGCTTAATTTTGGTGGTTCAGTATCTGTACAAACTTGCATGTGAAGGCTTCTAATTTGCGACTATGTTTAGTTCTCTAACTGGTGCTGCTGATGTTAAAATTACACTTTTTTTGTGAGAACAGAATACATTTAAAACTCACTGATTTCACCCTTAGTACTGACAGTAACTTTTTTTTTTGTTTTGTTTTTTTTTTAAATCTCACAACTCCAGCAGGTTTTTCTTGTGTTCAACAACTGACTTGCAACAGGACAAGAGGCCAGCCACATTGCCTGTCATAAAAATACTATCAAAACATCACAAAATCATGAGTTGTTCATGGCTAGAACTAATAAAAATAAATAATGTAATGAATTTAATTAAGTGGCTACAAAATAATACTTTTTTTTTTCCTTTTAATTAATTTAATCTTATCAACATTTTAATGACGATATCATACTCGTTCTACAACAAAATTATTAGAGCTGTGAAAGCAGCAGCAGGTAGATCATATGGCAAAGTGGAAGCACCATTAGAATCGCAGGTGAAAGTGCAGCTGCAGGTACTGCACGTTCTCAGTGCTGACAATACTGACAAAGAAGTGCATATAGTATGTCACAGCAAGTGCGACAACACAGACGTTTGTATGATTTGTCTCTTTAGAAATTAATTCCTTCAAAACCAGCTCATAGGAAAAAAAAAAAAACTCTGTTCAATGTCTAAAAATGTATCTTTAACGACAAAGGAAGAAAAATGACCTCTGCCTCACTAAGGTATTACAATGTGGATGGCTGCCAAACACCAAATCTGAAAAGGTGAACTTTTCACTTACACTTAATCAATGCAGATTGTATGAGGCAATGAGAATGGGCATGATGAAACGAAAATAATTTACTTACCTCATACGGTGCAGAAAGTAACCCTAACACAAAGCAGAAAAATGAAAACTCCAGCGCAAACTGCTCCTTGAAAAAGTGCTCAACAATTATTTGAATACACTCAACGAGTATTTTTGAAATCCACCGCACACTGGCTTGTATTCATCTAGATTACTTCAGTACTCTGAGATTGTAGATAACTACCTTTACAGTCCACACATGCGCTCGCAAACACAATGCATGACTGTACATTCACTAAAAGACCACTGTGCAACCAGTCAGAAGCTGCAGTCCCCCATTGACCTGTCACGTTAATTCTCTTCACTTCTACACTTTCACAGGGAGAAATGGGGTGAATTGCAATCACTTGACGCTGCTTGATTCAAACCACATTTATTTGTATGCAGTTCAGTTTGGATTTTTCCAAGGAATGCCTGGTAAAAAAAAAAAAAATCACTGCTCAGGTTTGTAAAAAAAAATAATAAAAAAAAAAAAAAAAGAAAAAAAAAGAAAAAAAAAAAGCCCACAGTGTATCTGATGCAAACTGGGGTTCCTTTCAGCCCATCCCAAAATACACTGAGCAACACTTGATGTTGCTGGTATTTGTTGCTTTACAAAATCACATTTACTATGGCACCCTTTAAACTGTTCCACAGTACAAGTAACTGTAAAAGCAAGTGTTTGAAGATCATTTAAAGGCACATGGTTTTAATCTAATGGACTCCTTTGTTTTAAACGGTAATAATGTTTGATTCCACTATCTCATAAATGTGCTCATTCGTCCAGGAATTTTCTGAATGGACCGAAATGCCTCGTAGATTATGACAAATTAGAAGGGCCTTTTAAACCCTGAGAAATCAAAATCACCTGGGCTAAGCTGAAAGATACAAAGTACAGATGACCAAATTGCAGAAGAACTTCTCAGTATTTACAGTTAGGGTTGGTTGGAGTTTATCTTTTTTTTTACTGTACAACCAATCAAACGATTGTAATTTCATCCCAACGTGATGCTACGTGCTGGTGGTTTTCCCAAGGCTGATGATGACGACACACTCACACGTACAGTACATTTACGTGTTCCTGCCTTCCATTGTTAATCCTACAACATGACATTACATGGCTATGTTTTTCTGTTTGGCACAATGTAATCTGTAATCACACCTCTCTAGTCTCTGAAGCCTCATGCTGTAAATTTTACATCCGTCTCCTGAGCAATGGTTTGACAAGCTTCCTGATGAAACGCTACACACATACCTGTCAAAGCATTGCTTTGTGTTCATACTATGAATTGTAAATGTTGTTTAGTTGTCACCATTGCAAAGACTTTTTGCAATGTTGTTTTACAATGCGTACTAATATATTATGGTTATTATATATGAATATATTTAATGACACAAGACATTGTGGATTTTATTGTCTTTATCAACTTTTGTTTTTTTTGTTTTTTTTGTTTTTTTTTTACTTGTGGTTGTTTAGATCGTTGCCATTAAAGAAGGAAATAATAACTACTGAACACACCAACCTGGTAGAACTAAATTCAGATTTTCATTTGAAATAAACTCGTTACATTGAAAAATCATTTGCCTCTGCTTTGCTTTGCTTTAAATGACTGTTTTTATTCATTCAGTTATTAAGTTAATACCAAGGTAAAAAATAGTCAGCTGTTTTCCACTTCTCGTTGCCACTTCATAATATTACAAGTACACTGGGCAAAAAAATATGCAGATTTCATAATGGAAATATGGAAGTGGTACTAGTGTGTCGACGCTTTGTTAAAGGTCCACCCCTGTTAAATATCATGTTACAAAACACTGTAATCCTCCAGAGTGAGGACCCTGGGCATGAACGCAGACAGACAGGAGTCCAGGGACTATTAACTGGAAATGTCATTTATTAGAAATTACAAGCTGAATTGATTTACTAGGAAGGAAAATAGCCATGTTAGTAACACGGCGGAGCTGTTTGTTTTGGCTGAGCGCTACTCTATAAACATTGTAAAATCCCAAGACAAATGATAACATTACAGCTGCTACAGTAATGCATGGGTAAATATAAGTGAGTGTGAACGTTGCAAAGCTTGTGGAATAACTGTACCCAGTGTGAGCCTCAGCCTAGACCACAGACACACTTATGGAAGAAAAGCTCCCAATACCTTGTGGGAGGTCCTACTGTTGGTCAATATTCATCACAGTCCAGACTAAAAATACTTTCCAAATTGATTACAACACTCCAAATAATTAACTGTTTGATGGTTTGGTTTAATGAGCCAGACACTTGAACAACTATTAAAGAGGACAATTTACACCCAAGCAATATATTCTACTGCAGGGCTACCAATGCCCTTCACCCAAGTAGCAACTTACTGTATAAAAAAATGAACCTGCTGCTTAAGTCTTTATTTCACATTGCCATGGTTGGGCATTCACTGGTGACCGTTGTCTAAACATGAAGAGCAAGAATAAGAAAATAAAATCTGATGAGAGACAGTGTTTAAAGTGTCTGTGTCTGTACATGTGTGCAATGTGTATGCAAAGGATTTACACTGGCATTCTGCACCACGCTGTAGTTGGTAGTCGTCCAGCACGGGTCCATGATCACTGCTGTCCTCGTCCCCTACACAGGCCACACAGCGACCACTACGATGGCTATTAGAAGCAGCACGATCACCACCAGCATCCCTGGAGGAGGAAAAAGGAGAAAAAAAAGGAGATCAGATGGCAAAAGCCAAAATAGATGTGCCAATTTGAAGCTTCATGAGGTAATTCCAAACGCTGGCGGCCCCACATGGCAACATGAGGTAACTGTCAGAAACCTAAAGGTCAAGGCTGTTGATATTCTGTAGTTGTTTTTTTTCTTTAACTGTCAAAAAATCCCATGAAAACCATCAAGGAATTGATCCTACTGACATGTATTGTTTTTGTATGCAAAGCAGTTTATGCATCTGCACCGCATACCACTAAAAACCACACTCATAAATAATCACTGGAGCACCAAATGTGTATTAATCCGCAACTGAAAATAGTCCCCAACAAATACACTATTTACCCCTGTTTGAGTGACATTTGAAATTAGCCATTTACAAAAACTTTGAAATTTGAAATACATTTGTAACCTGTTTTAAAACATCTGTAGCCGGAATGAATGGTCTTAGGGCTGAGGGCCACAGAATAGGGAAGTTGGAAAGTTCTCAGAGACAGATAAACACATTGTTGCTTTTCGTCTTTTGAAAGGATTTGCTGACGATAAGAAAAATGAAGAATAATGCCAAACTAATTTTTTAAGGATTTCATAAGCTAGATGTCCTAAAACACAATGTCAAAATGCTAACAAAGCTTGCCAGTACGCAATCTTTTTACAATAAACTATCTCTGATCTGAGCAATTGAGCAATTGAGCAACTGAGCGTGCTATGTATTTTGTGAATGACTGATATTTTTTTCTGTAAATTTGAGAAATTGATAAAGTCACTGGTGTGGGTGAACGTGAGATCGTTCTGCAGAACATTTATGCAAAAAAAAAAGAGAAACTTTGCTATACCCCCTTGTGATAAAACCTTTGCAGTTCAGCAAATTCTCTCTAACTAAAATGTTGAAAATTTAAATGTCAAGCAGCTGAGGAACTCCAAACCTGATTTGAGACAGACTCCGCGAGAAGGAGGGGAATGCAGCAGACACAAGGGAATACACTTGGAAGAGGTAAGAAGCCTACATTCCTCACTACTAATTTACAAAGTCCTTGATCTAGCAAAAGTCCCTTGTGCCTATGCCCTCGCAGCATTTCGCCATTCTTCTCTTGATGACTTAATGCAATTTACATGCATTCAGCAGCCACAAAAGCTTTATTACCACAGAGTCCAAACTGTGATAGGCATATGTTTCTGATTCTGCCTTGAGAGGATAATCATTGTTTTTCATTGATAGTATAGAAGCAGAGAAAAATGTGCAAAAGCTCACTCACACTTCATCAAAGTGCTTTACCCCCAGGGCCTGAAAATATTAGAGTTTTTTATTATAGTCACCGCCCAGAAAAAAAAAAAAAAAACTGTTGTAAAACCTACGACAGGTGGAATTTTCATTCGTAGTATAAAGACTTGTGTCTTTTGGGAATATTAGAGTCTAATTTTATTAAAGCTGAATCCAAGTACTAAGACTCAAGTTTTGCCAAATACCTGTAGATTACTTCTTACTGCATGTTTGCTATTTGTCTAAATGATAGGCCTTTGTTCATGAAACATTTTGACATGCCACAATGAGAAAAGCACAGGTGTCAATAATAAAAAATGAATGATGGCTGAATTCCATTTAGCTGCTTCAGTTTCTGGGTCCTGGTGTTGTTCATGCTGACTCACTGTCACACCGTCACTTACTGGGACACCTGAACCAGAACAGAGCCATCGGCAGATAAGTCACAAGTACTCAGGAATTTGATCAAGAGTGGTTGGTTAAATATGTAAAATCTGACAATCAGTTCAGGTTTTATATATTTATACAGCTCAACATGTACAAATTCTATATACCCTCTAAACGTCTTTTAGGAGATAAAAGAGAAAAGTGAAGGTGGGTGGCTGATATCATGCTCATCATAAACACATGAATGCCTTTAGGATGTGGTGGTATTTCCCTCTGTATTGTGTACATATATGTATATATGTATTCTATGACCCATACCACAAACCATGCCACACACACACACATTAGATACAGAAAACTTTCTCCAAGGACACATTCACCCACTACTTCCCCCCTTCTTCTTTCTTCTAGAATAGTGCAGGAGTGAAGATTTCAAACAACTGCATCTCTGGCGGGACTGAGGGCTGTCGACAGTCCCCTCACTGACTCAAGTTGTCCATTGTTATTTAGCATGCGGCTGGTATTTTCCCCAGCCCTTTCACTTTGGGTTTACATTTCTCTCATTCTTTGGCTCACTCCTCCTGCGCTCCCCTCCGCGTCCTAATTGGTTGTCTTTCCCACAGGGAGAGATATAAGCCATGCTGAACTAATTGCTTGCGGTGGTACTGGTGGTCTGATGAAATGTTAGGCCGATGCTGGTTTCTTTGCCAGGATATGGGGTATGACTGTAAGGGGTCCAGATGTATTTGCACCTCTTTAGCTCATTGTGCCACTCTAGTCATCCATCTCTTTTATTTATTTATTTATTTATTTCATGTATTTATGGCTCTTTGTCTCTTTCTTTGTATATAGTTAATTTTTTTGAACATATTTCAATTTTATTTGAGAGGAAGGTGTTAATATATAAGTCCACAGGACATGCTTGTGAGGAGTTATCACTGGTCTAGACAGGACTTCTCCTGATAACTTACACATGTGAGCATAATATAAAGGTCGAAGCAGAAACACACGCACAAATAGTTTTTTGATGAATATTTAAAAGCCTCATGCTTAAAGCAAATACACACATGCACGTACGCACACACATACACACATAAACACACACACATTTCCAGCAATTATCTTTGTTTGGGTGTAAAAGACACCGAAGCAACACCCAGTCCACATCAGATTCAGACATCAGCATTTAATTCAGCCTGGTCCAACATCTGTCTGCACCTCCATCTGACAACACCATGGCAACAATGGCAATAAAGGCTGAGCTGTATAACATATGCATTTGTTACTGTGGAGTGAGGCGCTCACACCCCCTAATGCCATGAACAGCCAGTCATGAAGCCACATTATACACCCGCACTGACCCTCACCCTCCTGTTCTCTCTGGACCGTCCCTGTCTGCCTCAGTAACTAAACAAGCTACTCCTGACCCTCAGGAGGCCTCCAGAGACTAATGACAATAATGGCATTTGCTTGCCAAATAGATTAGGGTTCTGCTGTGACACTGATGCTGAGGGGGATAGCTGGTGTCTGCTGACAGACTGACCACCCAGGAGCTTTGGAGGCCAAAGTCTGGGTTCATCCCATCTTAGCAATTTTCAGACACATCAGTAAGACAAATCACAGAGAAAAAAAAATAATTGGTGAGAGCCCTGGACAGACAGAGACGCCCCCTGAACCTCCCCTGACTACTGCCGTTATGCCCCTTGCTTATGGTTCAAAGACCATTTTTGGACCAAAAAAGGCAACAATGACCTCCTAAGAAAAGGGACAAAAATGTTAACAAGGTTAGTCTGAAGCTCATCATTTTTCTCACAGCATAAGTGAACAGGACAAATGAATTTTTATTGGTTTTTCACTTTGAGTATTAGTTAAGATACAAATATAAACATGTGTTTCTTATCTATTACTAATACATCAGCATCACCAGAGTCAGCAGGATTCATCCCTTGGGAGAAACCAACTTCTGTAGCAAATTTTGTTCCAATCCATTCATTAGTTCAAGATATTTCCCAGGATAAGTAAAAACTTTGAGCTGCTGGTGGCGTGACGGGAAAAGTCACGGGTTCACCAATTCCCTGGGGACCATGAATGTCTATATTGAATGTCATGGCAATCCATTCATCTAATAGTTGTTGAGATATTTCAGTCGGGACCAAAGTGGTGGACCGACCAACGAACCTTTCAATCCATGACTTAAGACTCTTGTTTGTTAATATTTATATTTTCTATATTAATTTCCTAAAGTCATGCAGTGTATCTGCTGCTCTGCCAATAAATTACCTTGTTGAGGTAATATAAGTGGGACTGAAATTTCAGATATTCAGCTGGTAGATGAAACCATTTGCTCCACGGTGTAATTTTGTGGTGTGAGCACAATAACTAGGACTAAATTGTTCTAACTCAAACCCTGGCGAGAATGAGATGTAAAAAGTACTTCAAATATTTATAGATTTATTGAGGAAAGTTTAATATAACTTGCCACTTAATAAGAGTAAGATGTGGAAATACCATTAAGGCTTTCATCAATAGCATGAACACATTCAATAGCCAATTCTGGTTTCCAACAGTATGCAATGTCAGGGCAATGACAGGAACAAGAACTTGAAGAAAATATTTTTTTTAAATGGTAGACTTCCCTACTGAACAAAATAAGCGTTTCCTTGACAACTCCTGAGTTACAATTAGAGTCAGTGCAGCTACTTGCTGTACATGCTCTTCTTCCAACACTGTCAAATACTCTTCCCTTCACCCACAGCCTCTTTAGACGTACCCCCTCTAGTTCAAACAGAACAAACCTACTTGAGATGCGAGCCACCTGCAGGATTCATGAGGTTGCAGAAGCGGCCCTCTACAAACTGAGGATTAACTCTGTTGAGAGGGGCGGCCGAAGCACTGATGTTGCTTGATGGTGGTGGCTAAGCTCTGGGGAAATCACACTACTCTTCAAGAGACCCTTTGGTCCCACACACTAATCTGTCACACTAATCCAACCAAACTCAAAGCCTCTACTCCTCAATTCCCAACAACAATTAAAACAATCAACATCAGCTAAAACAAGTGGTAATGACTCTGTGAATCAGGCTTATCAGGTTTTAGTGACAGCATTGGACTAACGCTAAAAATTGTGTGTGGTGTGTGTGTTTGTGTGTGTGTTTTTAACACTACTTGCTACGGACGCACTGCAACACTCAAAAAGTACTGAAGTCCATTCTATAAATTGCTTTTGAAAGCACCTCTCTTTTGAAAAATATCTATTTATTTTTTGATTTTGTATGTTTTGTCATTCTTTCCATGGGTAGCTTTTTGCAAAGCCCTTTGTAACTATTGCTAAGTGTAAAATAATGATGTATTTCCATTTGAGAACTCCTTTAATGCAGTTAAATCAAGTCTAAATCTTGTGTACATTTCGGGGATAGATGTCTCAACAAGCCTGTGCTGTATTTCAATCCAGCATGATTCAACACAGTAGATGTTTCACAACACCACAGGCACCAGCCACACAAGAGCCCATGGTTGAGCTACTGTATATGTGGGTCCTTCCCTTTTGGTGAGATGACCCTTCCCATAGCTCACCTTACTCTTCGCCAACTTTCAACAGCTTTTTGGAGATCTCTGGTGCACGCATGCTCACAAAACTGTTTTGCCCCTAACTCAAGAGTGCAAATGACTGATGATAAATATTGATAATGCTACAGTGCAGAACATTTTTCAAATTTCTGGAAATGTTTCCAGCTTTTAGCACAGCGTTGCTCTGTATAAACTAAGATGCCTCCTTTACAATGTGGCAGCTTCCAATAGTTATGTTAAGTATGCTCTCGGCTGTCAAAGCCAGACGCTCCTAACTTTACAAGGACTCCGCTGAGACATAACACCAAATGCCGTCTTTGGATGAGAGGTGGTTTCAAAAATAAATAAAGCCTTAAAGCTGAGGAATTATAAACACGCTGCCATGGAGAAAGAGGAAAAGCCCTCAGAACAATTTGTGGCATGTATTATTTTCAATTCTTTCTCTGCTTGACACAAAGACGAGTGTCAAACAACTGGGAAGACGAACAGGGGGATGACAGAGAGGAATGGAAAAAAGAAAGAGAGCATTGAGGTGAGAGTGAAGAAGACCATAGGGGAATTTTCCATTGTGTGTGTGTGTGTGTGTGTGTGTGTGTGTGTGTGTGTGTGTGTGTGTGTGTGTGTGTGTGTGTGTGTGTGTGTGTGTGATCTTCTCTGGGACACACACACATGCACACACATACGCACGCACGCACGCACAGACGCACAACACGCATGTGCCAATACACACATGCATGCACAAGAATATACTTTGCAAATACAGTTGCACAAATTCACCTGGACACTTATGTACTTTACAAAATATGCACCAGACACACTTACATACTACTACTTACATACATGCAGGTGCACACAGTATCACATGAATGTAAACAGATACACACACATTCCCAATGAATATTCTTCAGCCTGGATCTGAGGAGAGGGAGGAGGGAGGCGTGGTGACAAGAAAACAAGTCGAACAAAAAAAAGAAAGAAAGAAAGAAAGAAAGAGTCCTGATTCTAACACAATACGAGCTCTGGGATCTTCAAACAAACTCGCGCACCGGGCACCATGGGGACACGACCAACAGAATGAAGCATTCTGGGAGGCTGACCCTCCTACTGCCTCCTTTGCCTCTGTCCACGACCGCCTGTTAAACGGGTCTCCTAGCACAACAATACAATAGCAATGCTGTCTGAAGATTCACTGGGCAAACCGAGCCTGGTTCACGCTCCCACATTCCATAGGTTGGCTTGAGCCAGCTACCACACCTCTCGTGGCAGTCGTTTTCCTCTGAAAAGCAATACCCACTGAGAAAAAAAAAAAAAAAAAGAGAAGCCGAGTCTATTTCTAAGTAACAAAGCAAGAGTGAAACACACTGAAGCAGATCTGTGGTAATAGTGAGGGAGGGTTCGTGCGTTCACAAAGCCTTTCAGGGAACTCAACTCCACTCACCAAAATCTGGAGCTGAGACAACAGAGGTTGATGACTTGGGGCCTGATTTGCAACCCTTGGTAGACATGTGAGGGTTCCTCAAAGGACTACTATGAGAGACCCACTTTAAAAGCCCAGTACACTATGTTAGCAGGCGTGACAGACAGAGTCAGTCCACCCACCATTCACCACCCACACGCACTGTGCCAAGAGGGCTTGTCCCCATCACCATAACTTTTTCTGGTCCATTGAGCCCCATTCTTTCTGGAGATGAAACTAACATTGCTCAATTTCTGAAAAGATTTCTTGTAGAGATGATACCTTTGTACTGCTAAAAAAAAATGGATGTACCCAACATGATAGGCTCTGTACGTCAAATTACATATAGTCTAAGTGAAGTGCTATATTTGTTGTCCAACTCTATGTTTAACACCAGCCAGAGGAGCTCCCATTATAGAAGCATTAGCCAGTTAGACACGTGCTCTGTAACCTGCAGAAAGGAAAGAAAATCATTCATACAAATAGATCAGATATGAGACCTGCTTTGGTCCCTGGTGCTCTACCCAGGTGCTCCATAGCGAAGGAAAACAAAGGCGGCTCACCACAGGAGGCTGACTTTGTCTCCACCAGCTTCACCCTTCTTGTCTCGTTACGAATCCTGCCATCCGTCTTGTCCACAAGATGAGCGAGGTCATCGATGATTTCTGAGAGACAAAGAGAGAGAATGAAAAGAAAGGGAAGACAGGGACAATAAAGTTAATTTCTGCTTTGCATTATGCTATTGTCTGCCATTATTAAGACTTCATAGTGTTTTTTTTTTTTTTTTTTTTAATTTTATTACATAAAAGACCTCCCAATATGTTGTGTGCAATAAATGAAATTACCCTAAATTATAAAGTGACACAACGTCTGCAGAACTTGACATCAGAGCAGTCAACAACTTCAAAAGGCAGAGGCAGCCAACGCACAGACATGAGTGGTGCTGATGGAGGGAGTGGGCTGTGTGAAAGCACTCCTCGCCCCTTTCAAATGGTTTCACTACTTCCTGAACCCATTCTGGATTTAATCATGTCCTTATTGTTCATGAGTTTTAAAGACGCAGGCTTAGGCTTCAGGGACTACGCCTGGGCGTCCAAAGAAAGAGAACGTGTGTTTTGTGTATGTGTGTGTGTGTGTCAGTGTGTGTGTGTTTGGCGCTGTGGCTAGGGTCCTTCTGTAGCAGTTCCTGACTTGAAGGTCGTCCAGATGGAAGTCTGTGTGATTTGTTAGAGCTAGCCACTGTGTTGACATGACATCTCCAGAGGTCTGGCCCAACAACAAAAACAGATAACTGCTGAAAGATTTCCAAATTCTTGATTTGTTAAGGTTGGGTATTAGAATGTGATATTGGGTTTTGGGAATTGGGGTTTGGAGTCAAAACTCTATCACAAATGGCAAATGGCAACCCATGACCGACTCTTACATTTGCTGAAACAAATATAAACTAATATACTAAACATTACTTCATGCAGTTTGCATAGATATATAAAGGTTGGTGTGACACAACTTTTAACAGACAATATCTTCTTTTCCTTTTAGGGCAATCTGTAAGTATCTCTCACCATTCCAACTGCCACAATGAGACAACACTATGAATAAATACATGAAGAAATATATGAGCAAAAACATTCAAAATAAAATCACTCATTATTCCTGTTATAAATCAGGAGATTTATTGCGATGCAGAACGTGCGTGTCTGGAGATCTAGATTTGTGGGCGTTTTTTTTTTGTTATTTCTATTCCAGCAGTGCTGATATGTTCAGTCCAGTAGCTTTCTCAACTGTAAGAGACATAACAAAACTCAAAGAAGTGGCAGAACAATAAAGAAGCAAGTAAAACAGAAACCAAGGCAGAGGCGAAGAAAGGGAAACTTTTCACAGTGTCTTATCAACCTCTGATAAATTGAGGTTTTACAGGAATAGGAAGCTAAACTCATCCACAAGCCACTGCTCAGTGCCAAGTTAAACAGACTTTACTGTCCAGGGAGGGAACAACCTTTTATTGCTTCTGCTATATGGTAAAATAGCACTGAGTCTGTACGATCTATTAATTATTTTCTGTTCTCAAAAAACTGGGTTATGTGACAGAATTCCCACAGGTGACTGACCGGGGTCATGTGCAGCATTTGTCTTTGTGAGCACAAGTGTCTTTAACTCTAGTTGGCTTTAACTTGGACTGGTGAGAAAACATGTTTCCTCAACAAGGAGCCGTCACCGCTTGACAAGACAGCATGTGTTTTGGCTGACATTGGATAATTAAGCTGCACAAATAATTTGAGGAAAGAAAGTGAGAAGTTGTCAGTTTGAAGGGCCAGAGTGTGACGGCAAGGACATGGAGATGGGAGACGTGAGAGTGCCGTATGTACAGTGTCCCTGGAGACTTCCACATCATCATCTAAGCATCAGGCAACAATTTAGGAGGAGGAAAGTCTTCCTTTACTGGCAGGGAAGGGGTGTAGACACTGAACCATTTGTGCCGCGTGCCACTCCAACTAGTCATAAAGGATGTTTTTGGTTTGCTGGTGCCAAGTTTCTTGATTCAGTTCTGGACCTGCAATAACATCTCAGTTCATTGATGAATTCCCAACTATAGGACACGACCCTTAACTACAGCTGCAATGAAACGCTGAATTAATTTTTGGAATGGTAGCCCTACAAGGTAGTAGCTTTTCACATCTATAGTCCTTCAATTCACCCTGCTATCAAGTCATATTCCTAACAACATAATTCTCAATTTCCCATTGTAACTTTTGCTTCCATGTATGACAGCTGCTGGCCCTGGCATGGCTCTGCCAGACCACAAAGAGGGCCCTGTTTCAGGCAAGGATTGTTTATTTAAAATGCTATTACACTGGATAAACCTTCAAAGCCGCAGTGTGGGAGAGCATGGCATGTGTGCAAACACACAAACATTTCATTTTTTGCCAGTTGCTTGAAGATGCATTACAATGTTCTTATTTTGCCTCTAAAGCACAATGGACAATATGTACCCTCCCATTAAATCTTAATTTGAAAGTACTGTACTTTTGATTATTTGGAAATGAATGGGAATGCCAGTTCTGATTATTTTTATGGCCTTCATTATAAAATCATTGTGGTGACTGGCAGCATTATTCTTTGGCCCTCCAGGTTCCTAAAAGTCAAGAGTTTATGACAGTAACTCATCTTAGTAACTCTACAGCTTATTAAGCACATTCTCCTCAGTATGTTTTTGACAAAACGAACTGGCAGGACTGTTGTAGAATTTCTTTTTTTTATTTGATACAATAATAAACAAATCAAGACAAAATGCTATATACTACAGTCACATAAAAATCATACTCAAAACACCTACTTCTGAAGTGCTTCCTACTTCCACAGCTTCACAGAAAACAAAGACGCATCCAGAATCTGAACAGAGAAACTTACAAATAAAATTAAAGTCTCCTCAGAGCTCTGTCTGCCGCCACTGTGGACAATGACTGAATGTTTATCAGCATCCTAATAAACTGATTTTTTTGGCTTTGGAAGAACTTGACTGTGCCCTTTCCTAATTACATCTTACTGCATGTACAACACAAGGCCATTAGCAAGCTCTACTGGGATCCAGGGACTTGTTACCATAGTCTTTGTTGTGTACTTTTCACAACAAACAAAAACAACAACTGAAAATTAGCTGGTGGTTTTGTGAATGGTCATTGTGAAAAAGGGAACAGTTATTTGGCAGCCAAGCAGCAGAGCTATCAACAAAGATATAATGGCCGACAACCAATTTTGCAGCTCTAAACACTTTGACAATGCAACCCTGGTTCACTTGAACCACTTTTATCAGAAGCTGCAAGTGATGTTCTGTCCATTAATGGTATCTCTTTTTACAGTATGTAGGTTAATGAAGATACTCTCTCCCTTTTACAATAACTGAGACATTCAGCAATGTTTTCAGGGAGCTGGGCTAAGCCCTCTGCAGTGTATGCATGCAAGTATAGTAGATACTGTGAAACCATTTTAATATGATCATATATCCGAGAACAACTCTGTTGAATCTCTTGAACAAGTTAATGTTTTACCTCATTAATTATAAATTTAAAGACACTGTGAAGCTTATTCTACGCTAACTCTGTGCCACCCTGTGTGGCAGATTTTGGTGAGCAGTTTGGGCAGAATACAAAGAGAAGTAAAACAAGAAGATAACACATTTTAAATACAAGAATCTACAGATACAAATGGGATAACAACAAAGAAAAGCAACAATTTGCATGCAAATTCAATTATATCATCATCCTACATCACCTTAATGTAAAACTCTAAGGCAACAGCTGCTACCAGGGCACATGATCTTATGGTAGAAAATAAATACTGAAGCTGAAAGAGGCAGGAACGCCAGATCTCTGTTCTGTCTCTCTGCTACCAGCAGATCCTTTTTATTCACACCAAAAACAATGTACGTAAAACCTGGCCCTTCTGCGTAGAGGCGCGAGGACCCTGGAGCGCACACACCAATAGGAGACAGATGTTGCTCTCATATGACATCACCTACTCACTCAGGCTGCCGACTTTCTGCGTAATCTCAGCGCCATTTCATCTCTGCTCCAATACTTTGCAGTTTCTATATAAACAGCCTCTCTCTGTGGCCATCCTGCTCTCTGGGGGCTAACTAGTTACCAGGTCTGTTTCCATCCTTGCTGTCGGCGTCATCTGGAACCACGGACGGACACCTACTATCCTCAGGATTGGCTGCTGCCTGCCTGGACTAAATGAGTATTATGTGGCCAAGGCACAAACTGGAAGAAAATACTGAATGTGTTTTTAAGTCACTTGTGCTTTGAGGAGACCACTAGTCCAGGGTGTACACAAGCAGATGAAGCATTTCCACTTCATTTCTGGGTGTTTACAGCATACACACCCATCAGCCTCATAGCTGGACTGAAGGTGTCACAATGACACAATAATGCCACCAGCTGCTGTCTCCTCTTGGCTCAGATCTTTTAATGCACTGTCGTCTTTTCAAGAAGCTGCAATTACGTTTTGGCCATTACCCAAAGCTCATGACCATGCGTGAAGGTTGGAACGCAGATCAACCAGTAAACCGAGAGCAGCACCTTGAGGCTCAGCTTCAGCACAATGTCTGCATTGCTACTGAAGGTCATGGTCTGAAGAAGACAACAGAACCACATCAGAGATGCAATCCTAAGGCGACCATGCCGCACACTCTCCCACACATCTCACCTTCGAAATTCTGTCCATGAAAATAGCAAACAGATTCTGTGACAAGCCCAATGAGAGAATGCCTTACTTCCCACAGAGGATGTGTCCATAGCTCTCACTCCAGTTATACAAGGACCAAATGATTCGTGGTAATGGCCCCTGTTCTCCACACTCAGCAACCCCCAAAAGATACTTCAGGAGACGGGGTCATAAGCCTTCTTGAAGTCCACCCACAGACCAGATGGGCAAACTGTCATAACCCCTCCTGCATCCTTACAAGGTTAAACAGCTGGTCCACTGTTCCCTGACCAGGATGGTATTTGCATTGCTCCTCCTGAATCAGAGGTTTGACAGTCAGGGACCAACACCCCAGTCTGCCAGTCCACAGGCACTATCCTGACCTCCATGTGACACTGACACTGAAGAATATATATATATATACCGATTACTTTTTGTAGAGAAATTACCCTCATCTTGCAAT